TTTCTGTCAACGAAGATTTGCGTCACAGCCTGCAACACACGTTTCTATTAACAGGGTCGGATGCCAGGTAGGTAGCTGTTGTAAGAAGAAACGGCGTTTCACGTCCAATTCACCGAGGGAACTGGCAAAAAATGGCAAACTGAAGGACCAAGAGAAGCAATTTAAAATGGTACACGTCAGCTACGAAAGTTAACACGCTGCAAACGTGCATCCCATGCATCGTTCATCTTAGCCGCCGTTATGGCTGTTGCTCATTATGGCATGCGTGTGTAAGTGCGTGCGTATGCGTGCGTGTGCGGTCACGGGTCGATCGCGGGAGGCTGGTTGATCGAAAAACAGAGCTTTGGTCAAAAAAGGGCGGACCCTCTTGCTCTACAGGATACACTGCAGGGAAACAAAACACGTTTAATCGGGAAGGCTCGTTGTGTATTTGTAGCCAATTTAGTCATTTTGATATTGGGCTAATATAGCTAATATAGATACATACAGCATATGTTGCCTTCATTATAAGGCTTTTTATTTGTTGCGCCTCCAGACATATTTGTTTTTTGTTTATTTTGGTCCAATATGGCTCTTTCAACATTTTGGGTTGCCGAACCCTGCGCTAGACCGAGGCCAGGTTTCTGAAGCATGGATTACACCACAGTATGTTTCAAACTGTGGGGTTCAAAACCAGATGAGAGACTACGATTAAACGTTTCGGGGACAGCGGTTACTACAGTGGACAGCTTATCATGTTATCGGATTACAGGTTATCATTATTGGTGCATGAAAGGGTTAATAATAGCCAAAACCGGCCGCTTGAGAAAGAATGAAACCCTGTCCAATAATTGAGGAACGAGTCAAATGAAGAACCTGACGGTTTGATCTGGTGAACCACATTCTTTGAAAAAAATAAAAGAAAAAAAAAAAGAAAAAAAAAAACAATTCGGAACGAAGTCGCTGCAGTTGCCGCTTTAGCATCGAAAACGTGCAGAAAGCTGTTGAAATCTTCAGGGGATGACTCGACGCAATGGAAACTAGTTAGATTTTGCTGAACAAACACTATTTTTAAAAAATACATAACTATAATGTGGTTGCGGAAGTGCGCACACCCTAGTATTTCTGCCCCTTTAAGTCTGACGAAAAAAGTTTCAAAATCTATTTTTTAAAAAGGGCAGCAGATATTTTGCACAGACTTTTTACACAAAGTTGGGGTTTCTGTCAGATAAAAGAAAAGGCCTTTTTAATGTCCATCAAAAAGAATGGAAAAAAAAAAGGCACAACTCACATCTTTGGCCAAGTAGATTGAAATCAATTCCGTTTGTGGAATTATTGTCCTGATGTAAATCTTTAAAAATGACCAAATTATCTCTCGCCGATTTTTATGAGCACAATATAATTTTGATACCAGCGTGACAAAGTCGATGATATGATAAAAGTTTCATGAGCCAATCAATCCGTGTACCATGACTGTTATGACATCATTTGTGCACTCGCATACGCCTCATTAAAAAAAAGAGCAGAAAAGAAAATATTCATCAAACAAAAACTGGCTTTTTGGAGTCCACTGAGGCTTTGGTGATTTTGCTTTTTTTTTTTTTTTAAATGATCCATCTGACATGAGCAAGTGTTCTCGCTGTGCTAGCCACGAGGATTTCTATTCAACGTTGTTTTGTAGCAACATGAAGAGGATTATCATAAGCACGTGCTGTATAAAACAATTCGGGGGCACTGTTGTTCTCATCACGTGATTGTGCTTCTGCTTGAGCAGAGAGGAGCTGGGTGCTGTTTATTAGCGCAGGGTAGGAGGGCGGAGTGACCCTGGAGCCAAGGAGCAGAGGAGACGTAGTTGGAATCAGTAGAATTTCAATGCATGTGCAGAGAGATTTGGAACATAAATCTTCTGCTTTTACTTTCCCCACAGCCCCAACCTCCTTTTTTTTTTTTAATTTCACCTTGGACTATCACTATGCTCCTCTACACTTATTCACCGAGGACGGTGAATAAGTGTCCCTTCAGTACTAACTGAAAGTCTGCAAATGTTTGACAGATTGGGCAGCTGACACGGGCATTAATCATTGCGCTCAACACCGTGGGCACATCTCGCAAAGAGACATTCACATCTGAGGACACTGACAGCAGCACTCTGCCATGACGCCATACATGACATACAAGTGTTAGCGTGCTACTTTTGCGATACCTACATCATCTGTGATGTATTTGAGCGTGTTATCACATTGACGTTCAAGCTATAGTTTGGTTATCGACTGTCCTGTATGTGAGGCCAATGGATCATCTTATATTTTGTATGCTACAATGAAGGATGCGATACAGTTGTAAACCCACAGCATGTAAACTGCAACCAATGTTGAGTTCCAACATAAAACACACACACACACACACACACACACACACACACACACACACACACACACACACATAAATAAATAATATAAAAAAATCATTTAGAAATTCAGGTACCATATTTTCCGCACTATAAGGCGCTTCGGAGTATAAGGCGAACCGTCAATGAATGGCCTATTTTAAAAATGTTTTCATATATAGGGCGCACGACATTGTAAGGCACATAGAATAGAAGCCACAATAGTGGCTGCAGTTGCGTTATGCATCCACTAGATGGAGATATGCTAAGGTAACAAGATACAATGCAGCTTTATTTATATCGAGCTTTTACAACCACTGCAGCTGTAACAAAGCGCTTTATAGAACATTTAAAATACTACGTCCCAAAAAAATTCGGAATGTTGATCCATATAAGGATGCATCGGATTATAAGGCACACTGTCGGCTTTTGAGAAAATTGAATGCTTTTAGGTGCGCCTTATAGTGCAGAAAATAAGAAAAACTATGCATTCATCATTAACATGCTCGAAAAGAAGTGGAAAGAAGCAAAATACTTGATATACAATATATGTTCTAGGATATGTTGGATTAATACCGCACTGATAGTTTCAATGTTTGCACATGCAAAGACTTGGTTTTTTTTTCATGTTCTGCTGTAGATTGCAAATTTCTCCATTGTGAGACAAATAAAGGTTTTCTTATCTTAAAATTCTAAAAGGACACTGGGATAAACAAGATCAGAACAAAGACAAGGACAATCGACTGACCCACAGACCGGTACCGGTCCGTGGCCCGGGGGTTGGGGACCACTGATCTAAATTGACAGCCTAATCAACATGGATTAGGTGCAGGTGTGGAACCACGGCAGGCTGTGCTCTTATTGGCTGGAACAGCTGGAGGGCGGGGCTAATCAGCATCAGAAATATTACAAAATAAATTAAACTAGCTGTAAGATTTGTGCTACATGTTAGTTTGTGTCATTAAAAATGTGATAATCAGGATGATTTTGAGACACATTACTTTGTTCCAATTTCCCCAGTCTGGGGGGATGACAATGGGTAAAAAAAACAAACAAAAAAATCTTGGCGTGTGGTCACCAGACTGTATGATCGTGATGTAGAACGAAACAATGGCTAATCATGAAGTGAACTAAAGTAATTTTAATGACAGCTTATGATTTTGTGCAAAGTTTGTGTTTCCTTTTGAAAAAACTAATACAACTTAAGTATTGTAACAGTGGTTCATACTGTATGGTTCATCATTTACTTCAGGTCGTTATTGCTCTAAAGTGAGATACATTTGTAATTTTAGCACACAACCTGAAAACAAATATAATAAGATAAGATCAGAAAACCTTTATTTAACTCACAATGGAGAAATTCCCAATTTACAGCAGCAAAAATATGAAAGGGAGAAGTAGAAGTAGAAGAAGTAGAAGATATACGCATAATTTTCCGCTCAGTAATTTGCGGGATGTTATGAAAAGCAGCCAAATCGCCAGTTCCAAGACCTCTCTTCTGAATTTGCGAACCAGTCATGAAAGATGCAAACTTGTTGTCAAGTATTCCATGTAAGTTAAAGAGTGAAACATTGCCCCCATGAGGTACAAAGTAGTATTGTCGCTTCTGTTACTCCACTGGTGGTTGACATGAACGTTATTTTTACCCTAAATCTTAACTCATACTTGTTGTTTTAAAATCCTCTACAGCACCAACGTATCACTCTTTTCCGCTTCATTCACTGAGGTGAAAATTTTTAGATCTTAAAAATAAACCAGCTGTGAATTTCATCGCAAATTGCACTAGGGAAAGGTGGCCAAAAACAAGTGCTGTACAAACACTTTTAGCACGCCAGTCTGTAGCTGGCCATGTTAAGCGCTTTATATAAAATAGCACTGTCGTGATTGTTTCAAAAGTAATGCAACAAATACAATGACAGTCAATTATGGTCGTATATAACAATGACGGTTGGTTATAGTAAATACAGCAACGTAGTACTTTTTTTAGGGCACCCCTAAATTCAAATGCCTCGAAAGTGGTCCAAATTGGACGAACCAAAATGTGTATCGATTAAACAACTACGTTGTGTAAAGAATTAAAAAAGCACGAAGCAACTACAAAGCTTAAGATGTGTTCCTCCTCTGGTCTTCCACAGACATTGTACCATTTATTAATTTTAGCACTAACTATTAAACGCCACTAGGTGACAGCATCTACCAACTGTGACCAAGTAATTGAGGGTTGGATTTATGCCTACTGTTCATATTCCAACATTGTACAGAGTGACAGAGTTTAAGATTCCTAAATTGACACTCGCAAATTCCCTATGTTAAAAGCAATAGCAATTTAGCAACATGACATGGCAATATAAAGAATAATTTGTATGTCCGTGGTGTTATTTGCCTGCTTTGACAGGTAAAAAATTGGATAATTCACTCGTTTGCTCCAAATCCATACTGTACTGTGGTTGCGGTTGTTTTGGTACATTGTGGAGGTGAATGCCACTACGAGGCATTCTAACAATATGACAGAGCAATTATTTACCAGAATATACCATTCCGTGAAATTAGTCAAGGAAAGGAATTCAACACATTATAGTTTCCGTCGGACAGAGGCATGCAATAAATACAAAAAGGAAGAGGAAAAAAATCCTACCTTTGAAATGTCTGTCATCTTCAGAGAGAAACGACAAGAAAAAGATTCAAATTACAATTCAATTTTTGACAACTGAAATGATGAATGACAAAAATTGAAGACAACACTATCAAATGTGATTAAGCCCACTGAAACTGCATTGTACATTTTCACATGCTCAAAAGTCACCTTGAACAGGGTAAGTGGTAAAAGTAATAAATATTATAACAGAGATCCAATTCCAAAATGGTGTGTGTGTGTGTGTGTGTGTGTGTGTGTGTGTGTGTGTGTGTGTGTGTGTGTGTGTGTGTGTCTGTCAGCAAATTATATTCTTGTATCTTACATTACTGTGTGCAAATGGCTGATAAAATAAAAAATAAATTAAAGTTTTGTTGTGCTTACAGTGACACACGGGTTTGGGCGTGTCCCACTTGCCCAATTTATTGCACTGCGTTGAGTTTCGGCCCATCAAGATGAAACCAGGGAGACAACTATAGTGCAGTACGGTTCCCTCCACCGGCAGCCCCTGCGGCCAAGACGACACTCGACCATTTTCCAAAGACGTCCAAACCCGAGGACATAACAACACTGAAAGAGAAGAATGAATCGAAATCGGAAAATGAACCATATGTCATGTTGAGGAAACACATCTGGAACCTCTGTGATTTTATTTCCATTCTCAGACTCTTCTTTTTTTCCCCCATGTGTTTGTGAACGAACAGGCAATTGTTTTTGTTTACCTATAACTAAGGGTTGTAAAAAAACAAAAACAAAAAAACCCCACAATAACTGATTTACAGTTAACTTTATACCCAACAAACTAAATATGCCTCACATACTGTAGTTGTCAAAGTCAGGAAATTAAAAAAAGTTGACTAAAATTACAAAAAGATGCTCAGTGCAAAAAACACATTTTCAATCACGTGATTGAAAAAAAAAATAGTTTGAAAGACCATGATCATATGTATGCGAAAAGAACGTCGGTTTAGAAACTGGTTTTAAAAGCATTTACAGTAAATCGGGGAACCATATTATGCACAAGTACAGATAAAAAAAAAAAAAAAAGCTTTTTATGTATTATTCAAAAGTGCGTGTTATTTACGGGATTGTATCATAATTATATAAAGCATAATGACAATATTTATTTCTTGACTTTCAATGAAAAGAAGACAGAGGTGACACTGTTTGGTCCCAGTGGCCCTTGTACATCCCATCCTGTAGACTTGGGCCTCCTGTCTCCTTAGCTTAAGTCAACAGTCTCAAACTTGGGCCTTAAACTGGACAGTGATTTCAAACTTGACCGGCAAATTGGTGCCGTTGTTAAATCCAGCTTCTTTCACCTTAGACAGCTGGCCAAAGTAAAACCTCTCCTCTCTCATGAACACTTTGGGACAGTAATTCATGCCTTTACAGCACTTTGTATGCAGCGATGGCTGTTTGCAAGTGCTCTATAAATACAGTTGAGTTGAGTTGAGAATATTTGGCCAGCATCTATTCTGTTTTGGAACAGCATTTTTCTGACAGACTGGGTGCGCTTTGAGAGTCAGCCGTGGTTGCACTTACAGCATCTACTTTGTTGGTTGAGGTCGGTCCAGGTACCGCTGGGCAAACATTTCCTGACCTTGGGTCCCACAATCACACGGCTTCCCCTGCAGATGTACTCAATCTCATAGTCAACGGGGAGAACTTGCACACTTCGAATCTGGACATACGTAGACAATGAAATGCGACATGAGACACAAAAATGAGAGTGTAATTCCAACATCCTCAACTCATAGCATCTCTCTCTCTCTCACTCTCAGAAATGATGTTGTACTTGAGTGCAGGAATGTTCTTTAGCAAGCTAACTTTTTCAATTTAGTGGAGCTAGCTAGCTAGGTCTCTCTATCTCTCTCTCTCTCTCTCTCTCTCAGAATGATGTTGTACTTGAGTGCAGTAATGTTCTTTAGCCAGCTATCTTTTTCAATTTAGCAAAGCTAGCTAGCTATCTCTCTCTCTCTCTCTCTCTAGCTAGCTAGGTCTCTCTCTCTCTCAGAAATGATGTTGTACTTGAGTGCAGGAATGTTCTTTAGCAAGCTAACTTTTTAAATTTAGCAAAGCTAGCTCTCTCTCTCTCTCTCTCTCTCTCTCTCTCTCTCTCTCTCTCGCTCTCTCTCTCTCTCCCCCCCTCCCCAAATGGCAGAAACCCATTTATCACCTGCTCCTGTGTCAGGCCTCTGTATCTTATCCCACCATCTCTGGGGGGACGGATGATCGCACAACCTGGAAGAGAGAGAGACACACACACAATCAGGGGTCGCGGTGCAACACAAGGACAAACAATAGAAAGGCGGTCATCGGTTTATAGTCTCCACGTACAGCACTTTGCAGTTCTGAACAACGCACAAGTTGGCGCCACGTCCAGTGGCCAAGTTAATTCCGTAAGCAATGGCAATAAATTGTTGGTTTTGAAATGTTTGACATAGATATATTAAATAACCATGCAGAAGAGACACGGTAATAATTTTTTTTGAAAAGAGCCTCGATAATTACACACAACACCGTTGCCGCTGAAATTGTCTGATCGCCACTTAAAACAAAAATACTGGCCACCTTTAAACACCATTAGCCATCGTTATTTTGATTTCAGCTCCTTTAGAAGTGCGCGGCCACATTAACAACACGCAAACTTAATTGCTGTGAATGGATTTTAGGTGGCATAGAAAATCCATCAGCACTTGAAAGTAAAATAATTCACATGTACTGTAATTCTATTTCTCAAGCATTTTTTTTTTTTGGAGTGAGGCATGAGAGGGAATGGAAATAAAACAGATTCCCTGTATTATTTCATTGCTCATTGAAATAAAGACACTGGTTTAGAAGAATAAAATCCATAAAATGGGATCCACTAAGTCAGTTTGTGAAAGACAGTTACTAAAAAATTCTTTTTCATAAGATGGTGATGCTAAAAGTCGTCACTGTGCATCATGTGATGTAATGACCTATTTTGGTGTCAGCCCCACCGCGATATGTTCAGAAAATATTCTTTCTTGAAATCTCACAAAGTCCTTGAATCAGCGGCCAAGCATGTCCTCTTGTCCTCGCTTCACTATTCTTCTCGGATCAAATATTTCTCTTTGAGGGCTTTTATCCTTGCACCAAATTTCCTCCACTTATCCAGGTATGCATCATGCGGGCGGTAAGGATCGCTGCACTGTGAACACCAAATCATCAATCCGTCTTTCACCCATGAGCAAGACCCTAAGTCCTAAACTCCACCACCTGAAGCAGATTTACAATCCCTAAATTATTTTGAGGGGAGTGGACACAGTTTAAAAATGCAAATGGAGTATAAAACTGAGTAATTAATGATAAAAGAGCTCTTTTGATTCTTTCTTATTTCAGGCTGAAACCCATCTCACGCTACACCAAATGTGAAGTGAAACAAGACAAAGGCAGTCAGAAATATGAAGGGAAGAATGTGTTGGTTTCTACTGAGCGCCTAAGAGGACATGGAAGGAGAAAAAAAAACATTCCGTTCTCTCGCAAAGTGTTGCATTCCTTCGCAAAGATTACGAGAATACACAAACCTTTTATTTATTTATTTTTGTAAGGGGATGCTTTGTTTTTTTTTTTTTAATGCACGTTCTTTATGGACTTCCAGGTCAGGTTATCTAATGTAGGCTCTCATACGCGGCTGATTGAGAGACAATACTACTTTGGGTAAGGAGAGAATTGTGGAAGAGGACTTGATGCTTGTGGAGGCTCTCAGTCGTACAGGAAAGTTCCATCGTAGAAAGGGTTCTGTCAGTCGTCATCTGTACCTGTGGGTAAAAAACAAAAAAATGAAGGGAAGAATGTGTTGGTTTCTACTGAGCGCCTAAGAGGACATGGAAGGAGAAAAAAAACATTCCGTTCTCTCGCAAAGTGTTGCATTCCTTCGCAAAGATTGCGAGAAAACAAAATTTTTGTAAGGGGATTCTTTGTTTTTTTTAAATGCACGTTTTTTTTTTGTACTTCCGGGTCAGCTTAGCTTATGTAGGCTCTCATACGCGGCTGATTGAGAGACGATACTACTTTGGGTAAGGAGAGAATTGTGGAGGAGGACTTGGAAACTGCATTGAAGGTCAAGAACAGATTTAATGTCTTTATACTTTAAGCAAATTTCAAAGTAAAATTCCATTAAACTCGACATCCATGTTTGTTGTTTTCAGTTACCTGGGAGATGACCAGAAGTACATCAACAGGCATTTGAAAAAAAGCTTGCGTTATCTCCCAATTTTTGCGAGGGAACGCAAAGTTTGTGACCAGAAGTACATCAACGCGCATTTGAAAAAAGCTTGAGTTATCTCCCAATTTTTGCGAGGGAACGCAAAGTTTTCCTCCATGTCCCCTTAGGGCCTCCGTAGGTTTCTGGCCAATTCAAATGTAAGCGTTCAAGTAGTCGCTTGATGACGTAGACAGCATTAATTTCAAAACCATTATCTTTGTTATGACATACATTATAGCCACTACCGTAGTTGCCTTTCACATGTTTAAGGAACGAAGCAAAAATAAAAAAAAGAAATAAAAATAAAAACGTAGTAGGGGTAATTAGGAAACCAAAAGTGTGCCGCATTTCGACCACTAGATGGCGACTTCAGTTTTGCTTTCGTTTAACAGGTAATCGGCACGTAATCTGATCTACCGTCGTCATGCTCGTTAGGCATGCAAGGCGCTTTCTGTCCAACAAGACAACGAGTATTCATTTGAGGTTTACTGCTGCCATCCAAGTTGATTTCGGAATCGAGCCAGGCTTTCACAATAAGCAATTGTGGTTTCAGTGGGATGAAAAGTGCAGTTAATGGCGCCATCTGAGGCCAATACCGATTAAGACTGAGACTAATCGGGGCGGAGGGAAGGAGAAGAGAAAGAGAGGTTTGAAAAGTGCCAAAGGCAGACACGCACACACACAAGACTCATTTTCCAATTATTTCTTCCTAATGTGTCCGTTATTTTACAGTGAACTATTTTATATGAAGGGATACACAGTGATTCACCGTGACCTCAAGCGCAACACTCCCTCAGCACCTTAAAACAAATAAAAGCACCATTTGGGCTGTGATTCTTTTGCTATGGCCAGCAGGCGCATTCTGGTATAGACCCCCTAGCCGCCCAAAACAGCATCGAACAAAATTAATTCATGCACACAAGAAACCCGAACTATATATATATTTTTTTAAAAAGTAGGAAGTCATAAACAGCTTTTTCCTGCAGTGAGGTTGGCAGTTTTGGGTTTTGCATGTTGTATGGAATCTTGCCATCCCAGAATGTGTTGAATTCGGGCTTCATTGAAGATGTTCATTTGTCTTAATTATTCTAGCATAAATATAGCAGCGGCTACAAATAGTAAATCCAACACTACTCACGATTACAACTGCTGACTGTCTACTTAATGACATCGTCAATCAACTGTCACGAGCAAATTGAGATGTATGATGTCAGATTTTTATGCTCCAAAAATCAATTCCCCAATGAAATTATCAATACATTTGATAAGACAGTCATTTGAGTGGCCATGTACAATTTATTGCTAACCGGAGCAAAGCTGTGCTTTTTGCTCCGCTTCTTGAAACGAGTAATGCGCTGGCGCAACGGCATACCATGCAGTAGTCACTCAGGGCTCGATTTTTGTGCTCAGCTAGCACGAGGCGCAGATTAAAGCTGTGTGGAGCTAAGGTAGACGATGGTTTGGTATTTTCACAGGTGCATGCAAGGGGGGCATAGCGTGGCGGATAAAAAAAAAAAAGGGGGCGTTGCACTGTTGTGGGTGTGAACACATCGGACTTGATTCCCTGCCAATTGAAGCGGCTCCTCTCATTCCCTGATAAAGTACGTTTAATACGGAGCAACAAGCAGACCTCCGTGGGCGGATGATGTAAAGTTGGCTTAGGATCATTCGTGTCCATGTGTTAATCAATCAATTAATCAATACAGTGATGAAATTAGAAAAAAATATAAATGCTTCAACAAATAGCTGCTACTGGGAATATGAGTGACTAAGAGTTAGAAAACAGTAAATGTCTCGATTGCTACCCCAATATACATGGACGGTCTTTTAAAGAAGACAATAAATAATTCTCGGCCTGTAAAAATCTTCTCAAACAGGTGCATCATGCAAAACACGGTAGTAGCAGTAATATCAATTTGAAACGCTAATACTAACTGACTATGGTTGTAAAATTGTTCAATATTAAATAATCGATGTGCTCCAGATGTTAACTTTTTAACTCACTGAAGTGTAACATCCACTTTCAAACAATAGAAATATAGTTATGAAGTATGTAACAAAATAAATACACGCTTCAACAAATACTATTTCTTAAAGTCAAATGGAAAGTACATACTTTTCTTTTATGCATGTTATCAGGTTACAGGGTGCACAAAAGGGTTAACTGTGATCCTTGGAAGGAATAGAACATTGATGGAAAGGTTGAAAGATTGAGTTGGACCTCCAGGGCCCATCCGATCGTATTAGGTCTTGCGTAAAAAAAAAAAAAAAAAAATCAGAGTAATCGTCATTCAATGGCAACACTGATCGGCCGGGGATTGATGCAAACAGCATCCAGTTCAACAGCTACACTGCTACCAACTTGAACAGGGACATAAACCAATGTAAAAATCTTGAATTTATATGACATTGAAGCATTTAAACAACTGACAGAATATATATCTATATATAGATATATATGTGTTTTATTTAATGTTAAGGCTCTGATTAGGTCTATGTGATCGGCAAAACAGTATTCATCTAGAAATAAAAGTTTCTTCTCAAACTACAGTATATCGCACCCCAAAAAAACAACAACAAAAAAACAAAACATTTAACACTCATTCTTAGTCCGACATCAGAATGTGATGGACGGGGGGGATGGTCTCAACTCAGTTGATTGTGTGTCAGCCATGCATGGAATTAGCCGTCATGCGTGTGCTGGAGCTGTCATCTTAGCTCTGATTATGATTTGAAGACACATACGATAAGAGATCGACGGACAGAACAGCAAATTGCCTTCAATTGTGTTGTCTGAAATGAGTTTTTAATTTGGCATTAGAACCTAAATGAGCTCTCGAAATGCAGTCAAAAACACTGAAGCCAGTAAAAAGAAGGCAGTATGTATTCATATTTAACAACCAGGTATCGAAAGGCAGGAATTAAAACAAAAAAAACAACATAAAAAAAAAAACAGTATTAAAGACTTGCAGAAATTTCATGAACCCTTTCAGGGACAGCGGTTACGAGAGTG